TAAGGGCTCGTTTTTGGGAAAGCGATGACAAAGAACTTGTTTATGATGAGAGAACATGGAGGACATTAAGGAGCGACCCATGGTAGGTATGGCTGTGTACCTACAGCATTTACCTGACTAGGGAAAGGAGAGGATAATGTGGTAAAGAGGGGGAGGCACACAAGCAATAAAGGAAAATGAAATTGGCCACTAAATAGCATATAAGAAATGGTCATGTGGGGCTGGGGTTGTGGCTCAGTGGTGGAGCACTTGCCTAGCATGCGTGAGGCACTGGGATCAATCCCCAGTCCACATAAAAAAAAAAAAAAAAAACTAAACAAAATAAAGGTATTGTGTACATCTACAACTAAAAAAAAGGAAGAAATAGTCATGTTTATGCATTTATATAAAACTATATGTAAAAATGAGAAATAAGATGAACACATAAAAACAGTTTAACTTAAATCCACACTGAATTAATTGAATGCTGAGAGTGGCCTGTTGTCTGGTGGCAGCTGGGGTGAGCCAGCAGAGGGTCTGGAGTCCTCCATCTGAGCCTGGCTGTCCCCCTGTGAGAACACCCATGGGTGAGATGCCACTGTAAGGGCATCTGGGCACAGTTCTGTGAAGCTAGTGAGAAAGAAAAAAGGCTCCTGGGGGCTTATTTGACTTGTGGGCAAAGTGCATGGATGGGGGAGGGTACTTGCAGGAGACCTGAGCCTCGGGAATTTGCAGGAATTAACAGATCAGAAGCCATTTGGGGCAAAAGGCTGGAATGGGAATAAAGAGGCTGTGAATGTCACCAAATACACTGTGGGTGAGACTGTTAGAGAAGACCAAAGCCAGATGGAGGCAGGTGACCCTGGTGAGGCCCACAGAAGAGCCCCACAGACCTGCCTCACGAGAAGGATGTGGTTGTAAGTCTCCCAAGTTATGGGAGAAGAGGAAACCAGAGAAAATAGGAAATTAAAGAATGACACCAAGAACAGAAGAGTTCTTACCAACCAACATACACACTTTTAATTACAAAAAGTAAAAACTTTCATTACATAAAACTTTAATTTACATACATTCTTTACATGGTGAGGTCTTTACGAGTTCACAGTATATCGAATTACTGTCCACATTCTGCACTTGACACACATAAACAGCTCAGATCATTTTGACCACCCATACCTGGGACAGGTATCTACTTCTGCTCACTGGGGCCACCCGAACCCACCACAACCTGGTTCCCTGAAGATGAACTGTGCTGGTTCCCAGCCCCTGTCCCCGAGGCTGGCAGGGAGAGGCTGGCACTGAGTCCTGCCTGAGTACTGGCCTGCCCATGCCTCTCCTGTGGGGGGAAGAAAGGAGGAGAAGCATACAAGCAGCATTTTTCTGAGTAGAACTGCAGAAAGAAAGGTGAAGGAGAACATTGCCTATGATGAGACACCTGCTAGTGCCAGGTGTCTGACAGTTCTTGTCACCAATTCTCATAGACAGGTGAGAGTTTTTCTTAAAAAGGGTTAAAAGTGCTCTGCAGAGCTGCAGCTAAGCTGTGAGGCAAGATGGCTGCCCAGGATGACCCCCACCTACCCAGCTGTTGTGGGCTGTCATGAGGTAAATGGAGCCTGGCACAAAGCAGGTGTCCCATTTCTGCTTGGAACTCAAAACTCAGCTGGGCCCACTTCTCTGCACTGGTGCTAGAACCGAGGTTCACTCTTGATTGGTGACAGCTGCTTAAGTGACGAACACACTCAGTGGTGAGGGAAGGGTCTCCTGCCCGCCCTGGTGCCTCTCCACAGCTCCAGGCCTCTGCTTAGTTACATAACATTCCTTCTCCGCACTAGTCTGAAAAAGTCTGGACATTTCACGGTCTCCAGGGAGAGGAGAATGACAGATGTATTTAGCTCTAATGCTTAAATTATGCAGGGCAGAGAAACCAGACACCGAGGGACCTGGCCAGCAGACAAGCCGGCTGGAGGCTTTCTCCTGCACACCCGCATTTAAAGTGGCACCACACCCAGGGCTGCAGGCTTGGATGTGGTGCAGCCGGGGAAGAGCACCTGTCTGGCTCCCTGAGGTGCTTTTTTGGAAGTTGTTGCTGGATATCTGGAGGCTGGTGGTGAGGAGGACAAGGCTCTATGTGCCTCTGGGGACCTGGCACTTTCCTAGTGCACCTTACTTTTCGTTGGCTACGAGGCCTCCTTTATACATGCCTTCACCTTCCTAACCTCCTGGTCCTGACACACACGGTCTCTGCACGCAACATCTGCAGGTGTAAGCACCGGGAGAATCTCAGCCTGAAGCACTATTTTAAAGTCCATCTCCAACACTCTCTTCTTTCAACCAATTTTGTTGAGGGACAGGTCACCACTGAAAGGTAATGAAGAACTGTGTTCTTGGGAGTTCCTTCCATTGCTGGAAGAACTCAAAAGCCTACAAGACCCTTCTGTTGAACACCTGAAAAAGATGAACAAAGTCACCCTCTCCCCTGCACCAGGTGGCTTTCCCTCTCCCTCTATCATCTGTCCTCCTGCTGGAGATAATGAGAAGTGGACATTTGCTTTGGGGTTTGAACACTGACTGTGGGAGCAACTGAGGAGTGAACAGACTCATCCAGACTACCTTAGAATAGCTGCTCCTACACTGAGGCCTATGCTGGATTTTAGAAGAAGGGAATAGAAAACTGAGAATTGAAAAACAAGTGATGTAACTCCAAGGGGAGCCACAACTGGAATTGGGCAGAGTGCCTCCTCTGGTCACACATCTGGAAACACGTGGTGACAGGAAAACGGCTGGACATAGTTGTGTTCCAGCTACAACTCACTCTTTTTAAAGAGTTTTCAAGTGGGAAGGGAAAAAGTGCAAGGATTTTTATAAAAATCACATGGTTAGATTCTTTTCTTTTCCATTTCTGTCCAAAAGAGTTTTAAACAAACCCTGCAGGGTTCCTGCTTGCTGAATCTCATCCGCAGGATCACCCCGATGGGGCACACTGGAGTCAATGGAACTCACAGTTCTCTTCTTGGGCATCACACTACGACCACTACGACGCAGGAGAAAAATAATGTGCTGCACAAGCACCCAACTACCTACCTACCGGCAGTTAACACCCAAATTTCTTTACTTGTAGAAGAAGTATCTACTATCCATTTTATAGGACTGAGCGAAGAAAGGAGATTATGTATCTAGAGGCACCCTGTAAGCTGGAGTGGACTAGGACAAGTATTAGGAGTCCTTTCTCTGAGAAAATAAGCCCAAATCTGCCCCTTTGATTTGGACTGCTTTGTATTTCACCAAATAGGTAGACTTCTGTTTCTATAAACAGTTACTATTTTACATCCTCCCTTCCCTGATAAAATAGAGGATGGCTCTGCCTTTTTTCATAAACCAGAATAGGTGTGTAGTCCACTCATTAACTGGTGAAAGGCTCAGGACATCTGGACACAAGTGCTTCAAAATGGCACCAAAGCAGCCTGCCTCCCCAGAGAGCCGATTCCTAGGACCACATTTCTGTGCTGGGAACCTACATCAAAGTGAACTCGACCCAGTGCAGAGTCACCTCCCAGCAAACACCTGACAAACCTGTGAACAAGTCTCTGTTTTTGGAGTTCTGAGTTTTTTAAAATTGTGATTGGGGTGGTGGGGCGTGGGTTAAGTGGTCCTACCCTGTCCCTCTATCCCCACTTTCTCATGTTGAGGAGCCTCCTTTCCATACTGGGTCATGCAGAGGGGCTTTTGCTAGTTCTGTCTAGTGGCTGAGCGCTAACTGGTGGGGAAATCCCATGGCATCCTACACAAAGCCAAGAATAATGGGGAAGCAGCTGGCTGGCAGCTCAGTAGATTCTACTTATCAGAATTACCTTGACAAGAAAGTGAATTACTTCAATGCACCCAGTAATTAAGAGCAGAAAATCCTCTTTAGAGAATTTCTCACTTAACACAAATCGATATTCAAGGTCTTGGCTGAAAATGAGTGGAACGAGTGGTACATGCATAAAGCTGCTGCTTGTCTTCGGCTATAATCATTCTTTGTTGTACTGAAGAACAGCTCAGGGGATGCCTTCCAACAACAACATGTGCAAGGGTTTCTTAGTTATCGAAGTTTGAGCTGAAGTGTGTATTTTATTGATATTTAAGATATGAAAGGCAGAAATAAAATGAGTAATAAAACACAAGATAATTAATAAGAACAACACAAGTCTCAATCATCAAAACCATCCCTCTGCTCCCTCCTAAGGAGCTCTCTTTTGTTAACTCAAAAGGGTCTAATTTAAGAAAATTCTGAGAGGCCTCTGAGAACCTGTTTATATATAATCATGCACCATGTGCAGCAGGGGTGGGGACCCTGCAGAAGCTCGGAGGGCTTGCACCAAGCTGGCCTCTAGATGATCCCTCATTTAAAATCTCTTAAATCATAACTGCTTAGTAGTCTTTGACTTTTATATGTACAAAAAGTTTTGTTTTCCCTGTCTTCACCCACACAAGGGGATAATTCTTTTAAGGAAAAACTCCCCCAGGTACATAGAGCTCATCCTGGTTTCATTTAAACCCATGGAGGAGGCTCCCAGTGTTTCCATCCAAAGCTCTGTGAACTCTGCTTGTCCTTTACAAAACCACAGACAAAGAGGCCATTCAAAGGCTCAGAATTCATGGAATGTGCAGGAAAGGGGGCCTGGGAGTAGAGGTGCAGGAGTCTTCCAAGAATGAGGAGGATCCCAGAAAGGGGCACAATTGCTTTCCACCATCTCCATCTGCCTCAAGTCCATAACTCTGTGACAGACATCTACTGTGCATCCACTTGATTTCTGCAATTTAGTGTGGTTTGTTTTTTGTCATTGAGGAGGCGTGACCAGTGGCCAGGGATCTAGCAATGTCAATAAAGGAATAATAAGGGGGAAAAGGAAACAAGAAAAGTGTCCTTATTTATACTATTTGATTAACACATACCAAAAGCACTTGGCGGAAAACAATGAGCACAGCAAATCATCCAATGAGAACACAGCTTTATAGCATTACAAAAAATAACATCTCACCTTGTCTCCCAGTACAAAGGGAGCTCATTTTAGGACCAAGGATCACAAAATCAGTTGCAGCCCAGCTGGCAAACACTTTGGGTCTCGAGTTCCTTCCCCGACCACATTACAACATCAGCTTTGACGCATCTGCAAAACATCTCTGTACAAAGTCAGATCCTAAAGATCAAACCCAGGGAGGCACCCTCTCCCAGGCCAGCGACTCTAACTCATTCCCCTCTGAAGACACTTGGTAAAAGCAACAATCAACAGGGGCAGTGCTGCATCAGCAGGAAGGGCTCTGGCCCAGCCAAGGGAGGGGACTAGGAGCCCAACTTCTGAGAAACCATCCAGATGGGCAAGGTGGGGTAGGATAACAACCTGATAAAATGGAGAAAAGTATCACCTTAGGAATACTTATTTGGAATTTTAATCATAATGCAGCCTGGCACCTCTGAGATGTCCAGATCCATGCAGACTGGGAAAGAGATGCTCTTCGTAAATGTAATTTGGTATTATCTGACCTTTTTTTCATTGGTTCTAAATTCTATTTTGCTTGAGAAACTGCAGCAATTTCTTTAATCAGCCAAGGCTTTCCAAAAGATGTTCAGGCTAATGTAGCCGGGCAGTCAGCAGACGAGCAGGCCCACCTGGTGAAGAATGACTCTGACGTCAGGACCCACTGGCTGCCCTCTCCATTGCCCGGAGCCAGCAGAGGGGACCGTGTCCACACAAATGGAGGGAGGCAGCAGCCCTACTTCCTGCCTGTGAGGGAGCCTCCAGGCCTGGAAAAGCCAGTCTCTCACAGATGGGTGCTGGCAAAGTGCAGGCCAAGAAGCCAGGCTGGAGTCCTTCCTAAGCCATCTGGGTGAGTCCAGAAGGTCAGGCCCTGGCCTTGGTCTCCAGCACAGCAGTGACTAGCATGTGCATGCAAAGGGCCGGGAACTAAGTAACCAGCCCCTGGAAAGTGGTTTCATCGTTTTTGTTTTTATTCCCCCAACTTTCAGCTCTCAGAGTTGTTCCTGTATATAGTTCTGTTTCCTATAGTTCTGAAAGAGTGGTTCCATCACAGACGACCAAAGGCTGCACCCCTCTGGCTATAATGTTGACCTTCCAGTGGGTGGCACCAGCATAGCCTTGAAGGGAAACAGCAACAAGAAAGCACGTGAATATCAGCAGACCAGCGCACCTGCAGGCAGAGCCAGGCGGGCCACCTGCAGAGTCCACAGGGATCTTACACTGAAGATCTTTAACTCTTTCTAGTGTAAGTATTGTTCGCTCCTCGCTGTAACCTGACATCCAACAGGTGCTACTTTGAACCAAAAGGCTTTCTCTCCCCGCCCTCCCCTGGGCAATCAATTCTCAGCCTCAGATTGAGCTCAAGCTTTCTTAGCAAGATAGGATGGGTCTGAGAGGGAGCAGGACCTACTATTCAGTTTTTCTCAGGCCATCTATGACATGATTGCATCATAGCATGTCCAGATTACCCTAAATCAGCATTTCCCAAATTGCATTCTGCAAACAGTAATGTCTTATAAGACACTCCAAAGAAACTAGGTTCCACAGTCAAGTAAGTTTGAGAACAGCAGATTCCTCCAAGGCTTTTCAGTCTTTGGTACACTGATGTATACTGCATGTGGACTCTACTGACTCAAAAACCCTATTTGCCAAGGGCCTTCCCTAGGAACTGCCATTCCCATTGCTGGAGTCAGGAGCAATCCAAAGACACATGAACCCATGTTGTTTGAGTGGGTGAGGAAGGCAAACTTAAGACCTTTGACACTTCGATAATCTGATGATGCCGACATCACTGTGTCTATGATTAAGATGACAGTCTTTTACAATTAAAATTTTAAGAGGGTAGATCTCATGTTAATTCTTTTTACCATAATACAATAACATTAAGAAACAAGCAAAAAACCTTATTGATGAAGAATTTTATAGAGTATGATTCCTACTCATCTTTAAGAAAACAGAATAGAATTTAATCTACACTTGATGACTCAGTAAAGATCACAATGAGCTGTACTATATACAGTGACTGCGAATGCTGTGCCTGATCTGTGTGTCATCCTGGAAAATGCCTCCAAGTCAAGGTTTTCTGGTGACTGGTGACCTAATCCCCCCCCCCATCTTTATAGGACAATATTTTGTCAAAAATCAAAGAACTTTCTTTTTTTTTTTTTTTCCTTAAAGCCTTTACTTTGAGACATGATGGAAAAATTTTACAGGTACACATGGAAAAAGACAGACATGTTCATGATTGAGTGAAGACAATCTAATCAGTAAACTTCAATGCCTGTTAGCTAATGCTGAAGCTGAAAAAGAACTTTCTTGTCATAGTATCGTTCTTTAGAATTTATAAGGGACTGAAGTTGACACTATCCTACAACCATTGAATTATTCTCCCTTGTCAGGGCTGCTTTTCTGTCCTTATTTTGAATGGTGGCAGCTGTAGCCATTGCTTCTATTCTTGCCATACCTCAGATACTCATTGTCCTCCCTACCTTGTTCCCTTCCTTCTTCTCCCAAGCTTGTTTTTCTCCTCAGTCTCCTGTGCCTTTTCCATGTCCCAGTCATGTGGATGACCTTTTACAGACACAGTGAACCACAAGGTTCCTTTCCTTCTGGTTCACAAACTGGCCTATCACAACTTGGAAGGTGAACTGTTCTGGTTTTAGGCTATTCTGGTCTATCTGCACCAGCAGCATTTGATGCTCAAAGTCTCTTTGATTATTGCTAGATAGCTTATTCCCCCCTTGAAAATTAATTCTATAACTGGCACTCTGGATGCTTGTGGGAGTTGAAAATCTGGAATGTGGATAACTAAGGGGTTTCTATAGTTGTCTCAACTGCTAGGCCTTTGTAGAACATAAAACACCTATTCAAGCACAAACACCAACTCCAAACACAATACACAGATTTCTGCAATAATCACCCTTAGTGTAAGGGTCACTGTAGTATAGGAAATAGGTTCAGAACAATTTTCATTCAGGAATCCTCTTTTTTGTAAGCATTTCCCAAGCACCAGGCCAGCTGTGCTCCATTATTAGTTGATGCTTAATTTGTACATTTTAGTTATTTTCCATGTCTAAACTAAAATAAGGGTTATGTAACTTGGAGTAAAGCTTGGTATAGTTTTCTGCCCACAAATGAGGTGAGATGTTTGTAGGAATTTGAGGTTTTCTGAATGAATAAAATGAAATCAACTGGAAAACTAGTCTGGGCTCTGTCGAGGACTGCTGGCCTCACCCAGGTTTTGTGAGGCAGGAAAAACAAAGAGGTCAATGATGACACTTGCTGTTTTAGTTGCTTCTGCCAACAAGACTGCTCTCACACTAATTGCTACTGACAGTAGTTGATGCAAACCTGTTTCTTTGAAATAGATTTTTAGAATATAAGGCACAGGATAAGTCTCATCTGGGAAAACATGAAGCCAGAGTCAAGAGTGAGTCACTGGTGTGAGGCTGTGACTTGGCTGTGGAACCCACACAGGAGGTAACATTTCTGTGTGTGACCCTTGTATACTGCTTTGCATTGTTTTATTTGCAAAATAGATATATAGTTTCCTGCATCTTGAATTGTCCCTCCCTAGAGTTTGCCTGCACCTGAGATGACATGTAAGACTTGATGCTCTGCTTGACTCTAGTGGGGCGTCCTCTCTGGGTCTCAACCTCCTCATCTGTAAAATGAGGGACTGATCTAAACATTTTCCAGAATTCCTTCTAACTGGAAGGTTCTATGACCAATCGACATGTGCATTCTAAGTACAGTATGTAGAAGACATTTCTCTCTGCTATATAAGTTTATTTCTAAAACATATTGACTCTGTTAATAAAAGAATGTTATTTTTTACTCTACTTAATAAAAACTTTGGGAAGGCAGTATTTGATACTTAGAATATTTTAACTCTTTTTTCTGAGTTAAAAATTAAAGATTCCTCAGTTGATCCTACCCTCCTGAGACCCTACATACCGATATCCCCTGGCTCTAGTGGCATGGCCACAGACTGACAGTGTCTTCGGCACTGGAAGGGAGGGATGAGCTGCAACATGGCCTCACCGCTGCCAATGGTAAAAAGGTCATGCACTGTATACATCTGGAGGAAAGAGCGAGGAGGGAAAGAAAACAAAACCTGAGTATTAGTACATGAAAATCCTCACACATATGGCTTGAGTTTCCTAGCAGCCTAAGCAAAGAGGAAAAGAGAACCAACAAAAAATTCATAATTATGCCCAAAAGACAAAACAATTTAACAAATATGGTTCTGGGCTAGGGTTATGTAGCTCAGTGGTAGAGCGCTTGCCTCGCATGTGTGAGGCACTGGGTTTGATCCTCAGCACCGCATACAAAGAAATAAAAATAAAGATATTGTGTCCATCTACAGCTAAATATATATATTTTAAAAAGTGGCTCTGTCTGAGGCCCACCTGAGGTGGTTTAAGTATACAATCTTCTAAGGATCTGATTTAATCCAGATATTTTAGATAAACAGGTATGCATATCCTTTAGGATATCCTCTTCTACTATCATTTCTTACTATCAGGATTCTTATAAAAATTGCATAGCAGCAAGTTCAAATTATCTGGCAAGACCCAGGAAAGCAGATATGCCATGTTACTAATTAAACCTAATGACAATAAGCCTGGCCTCTGATTTTGAAAATGAGAGACAATCAAGATACGCATCTGCAGAGGTAAGTACTGTCAGCAATATGCACTAAGTACAACCTGCTGTGTTCCAGGCACAGAGTTGTGAAGCCCGTGGATGGGCAGGGAATAGGGACATGGAGAGGTGGGACTTACTCTGGTTTTTCTTCCTAGCTCCAAAAAAACCCCTAGAGCTTCCTCTTCCTCGCCTCCCCAACTGAAGCTCTTGCCCTTCAGAGTAGAGCTCCTGCCTACATAAAACAGATGGCACAAGTTGGATTCCCTGGTTTTGGTTTTTCTTTTCCATTCCAGGACTCTAGGTTTGGGTTTCATCTTCTTCTGGGTCCAACCCTGGCTATGATTTTGTTTCTAAGACATATTAGAGTCATTTTAGTGAAATGGTGTAGTCACAGGAGGGAGCTTGGTACCTTGAGCTGGCCTGCAGTTGACTGGTGCTAACACCACAGAAGCCCTGATATCTGTAGTCTACAAAAAAAATCCCAAAGACCT